TGGTCTGTCTGTCCATCCTTCAGGCACCGTCTGGAACCACGTGGGGAAAGCAATGGGGGAATGGGACGCTACATTCCACAGCGGGAGGAAAGGGCTGGTTGGGGGGAGGAAGGGATGTTTCCCCCCTTTGCTTGAGACACAAGGGGGTTCAGCAAGCCGGGGGGAGCCAGTCTAGCCCCCCCTCTGTTTCTCACTGCCCCCCTAGATTGGATTTGGCACAAGACAGTTTCGACAGCAAACTCCCATGTGGGGAGGAAGGGGGCGGAGAGCAGCAGCATGGCTGCCCCCCACCTACCCCCCATCCTCTGAGTCACTGTAAAAAATTGTCCAGAGAAGCAAGTCCTCGGAGCAGGTCCCCAAAATGCTGGCCGGGGCCAGGCGTGTCCCTGTCCTGCGCCCCAAGGCCGGCTCCAATGAGTCTCTGCGTTCCCCAGAACGTGCCTGGCACATGCGTCTCCCCGCCAGACCTGGGGTGGGACGCAGGGGGCAATGGCCCAGAGCCATCCCAAGCAGTCCCTGATAGCCGTGGGGGGCGGGGTCCGGTCCCTGCCTCAGTTCTCAATTGGGTCTGGAAGAAAAGAAAAGAGGGGCATAGGTCAGAGCAAAATAACTGGACCAGCCCCACGGGCCCATCTACCCTGGTATCCCGCCTCCTCCCTGCCTGTGGACCAGCCCCAAGGGCCCATCTACCCTGGTATCCCGCCTCCTCCCTGCCCCTGCCCGCCTGCCTCTGGACCAGCCCCACAGGCCCATCTACTCCAGTATCCTGCCTGCATGAGGACCCGCCCCATGGGCCCATCTACCCCGGTATCCCGCCTGCTCCTGGACCAGCCCCATGAGCCCATCTGCCCTGAGATCCCGCCTCCTCCCTGTCCCGGACCAGCCCCACAGGCCCATCTACCCTGGTCTCCTGTCCCACTCACTGGCCGTGGGAGCCAGCTCCCCTTCGCGGGGGGCCAGGTGAGGCTCGAGGGCGGGGGAAACGGTGAAGCGGGAGAAGCGCAGGGCGTCCATCAGGCTGGGCTCCGCCCCCTTGGCCGGGAGCAGCACCGGGGGTGGCGTCGGGGGGGCCCCCGAGCTGGGGTCCGTCACCATGGAGACGAAGGAGGGGTTCTGTGCCATCAGGGGGAAGTCGTCGTCCCACTCGAAGCTGCCACCTGTGTGTGGGGGGGGGAGGGTGAGAGGGGGCGGGGCCAGCCCCGCCCACTGCCAATGGCCCCGCCCCACTGGGGCCACTGCCCTTTATCCCATTGATAAGTGCAGCTGATGTCCCCTCTCCTCATTGGTTAATGTGGCCAACTACCCCTTCCCCATTGGTTGAAGCAGTCGCTGCTCCCCTCCCCCATTGGTCAGCGTGGCCGACGCCCCCTTACTTAAGGGGATAGCTGGCTTGTGCCTGGCCCCATCTGTCTCCCCGTGACCCCCTGACACCTGCCCCCCCA